AGCAGTTTGCTGATGGATATTGAGCAGTAAGACTATAAATACCTAGTGGTCATCAAAAACATGTTGAAGAGAAGGAGATCAAAGAATGAAATACTAAAATTGGAAATCTACCCTAAGGTGATCTATAACTGAAGCCATTGGGAGTGGGTTGGGTGATTATCTGTCTACTTGTTCCTAGAGTTTGATGTGGCAGCAGTCTGCAGAGTGGGTGAGCATCTCCAGTGCAAGAAGAAAGAAACTGTGGAAGAGCTTTGTCCTCAGTAGACTGACTTCTGGTTACTTCCAAATCTGTGGCAGGCTTCCTTAAACTGAAATGTTGGAAGTACTTAGTAGTTAATCCATTCCTATGAAAGACATTATACAGCATTGCCCTGTATGAAATGTCAAACGTAAGACTACTGCTTTCTTTCCAACTCTGCCTCTGGTGCAGGTGTCTTCATACATGTGCTGAAGCTGGCAGTTTGCTGTTGGCAAACAGGACCTTTGGCTTGTATTCAGTCCCTTCATCAGCAGAGATTAGTGTGCATTACATCCAGGAGGAAATTAACCCCAAAAGCCTTTCCAAAGGGAAATGCTGGAGGGCTTCTCTGTTCAAGCCAGTGAATAGCTATTATGAATCTAAATCTAATAATTGGCTGCAGCATAGCTTCTGGTAGAAGTTTGGCTGGGCTTTCTCTGGTGACTGGCCATCATCCTTGCTCTCTTCGTACACTACTGGTTTTAGCTGAGGTGGTTGTACTTCTGATTCAGGGGAAACAAGGCCTGTTCTGGGGTGTTTATGTGCTCAGCTTGTGTTGAGATTGAGAGTACAGGCTGAGTGCTTTTAGCCTTACTGACAGAACCATTAAATTTGATCAGTGAGGGATGTAAAATGGTTACTGAGCAAATAAGCAACAGTGTTCCTGCTCAACACCCTTGATTATATGACACCGTTGCCTGCAGACCCTTGGGAATGCCATCTCTTGGTTGCTCTGCAGGCATATGTGATGGCTGTGTTTTAATTTGTATTTGGATACAACTCTCCTTTCCTCGTCTGTTCTCAGTGTGGAAATAGGGGAGAGTGTACGCGGGGAGGATGTCTACATTGTGCAGAGTGGCTGTGGTGAAATCAATGACAATCTGATGGAGCTCCTTATCATGATAAATGCCTGTAAGATTGCCTCAGCCAGCAGAGTCACAGCTGTCATACCCTGCTTCCCTTATGCTCGGCAGGACAAAAAGGACAAGGTAAGGGATGTGGTAAAGGTTTCTGCTGGGAAGGTAAATGCACACCTTGAAAGTCCTGACTGCTGGATAGAGATTAGATGAAGTTGAATACGTAGAGGAGGAGATAAAACTTATTTTAATTCTTTTAAACCTCAGGGCATCGGACTGCAAATTTGTCTTTTCATAAAGATCTAGTTCTTGAAAATACACCAAGCTGTAATCACCAGTTGATGAAAAGATTCAATGTTAATGAGTACTCCTTTTAGTAACTGCTTGTGAATCATTGCCTAGAAGTGGAAGACTGACATCTTGATGAAGGAGTCAAATTTGTCTTAAATACTGTTTTTTCTGTACTAGAGTCGAGCTCCGATCTCTGCCAAACTGGTTGCAAACATGCTGTCTGTGGCAGGTGCAGATCATATAATCACCATGGACCTGCATGCATCTCAGATTCAGGTAGGAGCTAAAATCAGGGAAGTACCTACCTGCTCCAGTCAGAGCCTCTTTACTGCCTTGCAGGCTTTCCAGTGATCTGCTTTCTTTAGAAACAACAGTGATCAGGAATTGGGAACATGGGACTGGAAGGGACTTCTAGAATCAGTTAGAAAATGTTGGAGAAATGGATAACAGGTTCATCTGTAAATGAAAGTATAGCTGTTCTTGATCAGATTAGACATGAGTCCTGTGCAAATGAATGTTGGGCTAGTAAATGATCCATGCAACTTTACTGCCACATAGTGATGCTATGTATTCTTAATTGGTCCTTTGAGGAATTTGAGATGGAATGTGGTTTTATCAAGAATGTCCTCAAATATTGAGTAGAGCTTTCTGATATTTACTGAATTGTCAGGGAGAAGTGAGCAGTGCTCTGTTTGATACAGTGGCTGGTCATACTGCTGCCCTGAGGTTAGCTCTGCCTCCAGGTATACTGGTACAGCTGCTTGTGAGGGTTCTGTTGACCAGGACAGTGATCTGATAGCTTGCTGCTGACAAGATGGGCAATCCCACTTACATCCATTCAGTGCAACTCTTCCAGATAAGTTGGCTTTGGTTCTTTCCCAAGCTGCATGTGAATTGAAAATTATTCATGGGTTTTGCTGGCTCAGTGAACAGAATAGTCTCACAGAGCAACTGAAATCTTGACCAGAGCTGCGTAAGAGAAGTGGCAAGAGTGTATACCAGGGAGAGAGGGACAGCAAGCTGTTAAATTGTGAATCTTGTCTTTTTCCACCTTGAACAAGTGCTCTGTGACCAAGAAACCAACTCAGTGCAACTGAGAGGAGTGTGGCAGAGGGGAGGATATCTGTTGTATTGCTGCAAACATTTTGAATCCAGAAGGGTAAGATATCTACTGCCTGGTGAAGTAGGTGGGCTGGCTGTCATTTTAACAGTTAAAATGCAGCCATTCACACTTCAGTATAATTTCTTCCAGTATAATTTGCCCAGAAATACTTTGTCTCAGATGGAAAAAACTCTAGGGGGGCACAGCTGAGAAGACTTTGAGAAAGATCATGAAGTAAGAGAGGGAAGAGGCATACCCCCCTGGGCTAAGAGGCTTGGAGTTGTGATGTGTGCCATAGGGTTGACCTTTCAATGGTGAGATTCAGTTGAATAATTGGGTTTGTGTATATAAGCATCTGGCTGGTTTCAGCCTGGTTCTTGTAGTTGCTGGGTTGCTGAGTGCAGAAGGAATGATGGTAGGAAGGATCTGTTACCCCATAACTTGAAGTATTCCTCTAGAGTAGCTGCCCCCACTCCCCTGCCTATTACTCCCTGTTCAGGATTAAATTCTGGCTTTTAGTGACCTTTGAGGTTTACCTGGAGGAGTCTGCTGGGTCAGTGTAAAGTTGTGGAACCAGCTGCATTAGTTTAAAAACAAATGTTACTCAAGCTTTTGTCATAGGCTTCCTGTAGATGCAAACAGTGTAGGTAATGAGCTTTAAAGATTGACTTTGTAAACAGGCAGCTAGCTGCTCTGAAAATGATTGTTTGATGCTTGTTTTCTGTACCCCCTTAGGATAGAACTAGTTCCGTGTTGTGAAGGTGTCAGATGTAAAGTGTTATTTATGCTGCTAAACTATTTCTGGCTCTGAAGACTTCTTACATTACTATTCTGTGTATCCCAAAGGCTACTGCCCTTGCATTAAGGGAAGTAAAGGGAAAGCTGTGGAAAGGCAGTGGCTGCATGCCTCATAATATAGAAGGCTTCTTCCAACAGTTTTTGGAATGTGACCTTCAGCTATGTCTGTTCCTGTCGTCTTCCTTGCAGGGTTTTTTTGATATCCCTGTTGATAACTTATATGCTGAGCCTGCTGTACTGAAATGGATCAAAGAGAATATTGCAGAGTGGAAGAACTGCACCATTGTTTCACCAGATGCTGGTGGAGCCAAGAGGTAAGCTGCCAGCTAGCTTGAGGTGATTCTTTTATACCTACTTGAATTCCTGAGAGTGCTTGTGGCCTTAAGACATGTTCCCTCTGCCAGCCTGCCTTCTGTAAGACAGTCTGTGGCGGCTAATGAAGAGTGGTCAGATATTCTTCCTAGGGAATGTTTAGAAGGTTTCTTGGGCTACATGGAGAATCAAATAGCTTCTAGAATCACAGCTACATAGGTAGGAATTGTGCAATTACTACATCCCTTGGGCTAAACCAATTTTTTGTAGAAGGATAATTATGCAGGTTGAAGGAGGGAATTGTGTAGCTCCTACCCCTATGCGAAGACAAGGTTACCACTGCTTGTTAATGACTGGTTTTTATCCAGTCTGTTTTGTTTGGAGTATTAAGCCTAGTCTATTGAGGCATTTTCTTGCTTTATTATTCTTGATTTGAATATCTAGCTGGGACTTAAGCCTGCTGCTATTCTTCCTCTTTCCTGAGAGCAAGGAAGATAGATGGTTCCTTTCCAAAAAGCAGCAGCATATGTTATAGCACATTTCTACTTTGATAGTCTGACAATCTCCCATCTTTCTGCAGATAAACATGCCGGTTTGTGAGCAGTTCAGAATGTTCTCAGGTGCTTATTAGGAGAAACTAGGCTGTTCCTTGATGCTTCTGTATAAGGCCTACATGTGAACAGCAAAGGGATGCAGATGTATCTTAAATCCAGGACTGTCATACCAAAATGTTGGTGCATGCTGACCTGATTCACATACTTTAGAGTGTTTTAAGCTATCTGTTACAAGCAGCCAAGAGATATTACTACTGTAGGTTGCTGTATGTCTTCCTGTAGCTTTGTTGTGGCCCATGTTTTGGACAAGACCTCTTGTATATTCAGCTACTTCTGCAGCTTGTTGCATAATGCAGTGTACATGAAATGCCAAGTCAGCCAGTTATAATTTGACTCCTGAAAAAAACACCTTCAAAAGCCACTTAAACTGAAATGTGTCGATCTTAGCTGGTGCAATAATTTATGGAGATACTTCAGAACTAAATACATTAGCTAACAGTTTAGTTTAACAATCTTGTGTAGGACTTCCAGAGTGATGAGTCTGATCTGCTGAGGCTAGGAGTCTACTAATCTCAAGTATAGAATTTCTTAGGGGCATGTGTATTTTGTTCCTTCTCACTCTTAATGCTTTTAAACTCTTTACTCTTCATTGGTATCAATACATAAAGTTTAGGTCCCTCCAGTAAGGTTGTTCTGTGGTCACTTTAACCAAAGTAAATGCGAGGTGGTAGACTTGCATTTCTTGGATGTGTACTCCTGCAACTCTCCTTGTGCCAGCGCTTGTATGCATGACAACTGAATGCTTATGTAAGTGCAAGTAGATCCTGTCATAGCACAGCCTAAGCCTTTCCAGTGTACTGCTACAAAGATGACAACTTCCCAAGCATTTTGATCACTTCAGGTTTGCCAAACTTGCTGGTTAAGGTTTGTTTGAGCTTTAAATGCAAGTTAATTTACAGTGGTCAGGATGAAAGACTGTTTTATCTTAATCTAGTTGCTGTCATCAGGAGAGATTAGATCAGAGACTGCAGTTTAACTGCTTGAAGGGAAACTTGAAGTGGCAGAGTGTCATCTATTAATTGCTTGGGAGCAGTAACGGATATGGTGACAGCTTCTTTTGCTGCAGTGGCAGTTTGTGCTTAATAGTTTTAAGAGAGATTTGATTGAAGCTGTTGTGTGGAGTCAAGTGTTGTTTGGAAACTGTTCTCTCTTCAGAGTGACCTCCATTGCAGATCGATTGAATGTAGACTTTGCCCTCATTCATAAGGAGCGCAAGAAGGCCAATGAAGTGGATCGCATGGTGCTGGTGGGTGATGTGAAAGACAGAGTGGCCATTCTGGTAGATGATATGGCAGACACATGTGGTACCATTTGTCATGCTGCGGACAAGTGAGTAGGGCTGACTGATTCTTTCCTAAATCAGAAACCTGTTGTTAGTGAACACTATGTAATGAGTTAATCAGATTATTTGCATGTCAAGTTTCAAAGTAACATACAGTTTCTTGATTATTTATCTCATGTCATACAAAACAAGTAAAAAGCCTAATTAAAGTTCTCACAGTGGGAATAGCTAGAAGACCATTGTGTCTTTTTTTATTTTGAAAATGCTTGTGTTGAACTAAGTGCTGTCTGGTCCATCAACTTAAGGTCATACATCTGAATTTCTATTAAAGCTGTCCCTGCTCACTGCAGGGGCATTGGGCTAGATGACCTCTAAAGGTCTCTTCCAACCCAAAGCATTCTATGATTCTATTAGAAGTAAGCTTTTCAAGCTTTGATATCTTTCAAGCCTTCTACACTAGAAATGCCAGCATGTGCAATGCTTGGTATTGAATATCTGCTACTTTGTGTTGGCAGAAATCACGAAGGTGATTTGTATGATCTAGTCCAAATGTCCCAGGGCAAGAACAATATTTTTTCAGTGTATACTTTGCCTGTGGTGGATTTTATGGTACTTGTTAAACTGTTTTCTTCCCCCAAATCAATAGCGGGCTGGAGGGGGGAATCAATGGTAGCCTGTCCCCTAAGCATATGGTATTGTCTCCTTTCATGCTTACCATGTGCCCTGCACTAATGTCACTTTAATACTTGCTAAGAATTTCTCATCCTTCTCCTTCCCCCCTGCCTTGTAGGCTTGTGTCAGCTGGAGCCACCAAAGTTTATGCCATCTTAACTCATGGGATCTTTTCTGGGCCAGCAATTTCTCGGATCAACAATGCCTGTTTTGAGGCAGTTGTAGTCACAAACACGATACCCCAGGAGGACAAGATGAAGCAGTGCCCTAAAATCCAGGTCAGCATCTACTTTCAGTCACTCCTGGGGGGTGGTATCACTTGTCTGTCCTCCTGTTGGTGGGAAAACCCCATAATACTGTCTAGTGCTTACAGCAGTTTCACTCATACTTGAATCAGTGTTGACTAGTTCTTTTGTTTCTGTTGCTGTGGGATTACAGATGTTTTACACTGATAAAATGCAGGTTCTAATCCAGCTCATCTTAAACAGTTCATTTAAGTAAATTTTTTTCAGGGCTTGTTTTACCTAGATCAGATCATGGATCTAATGGGGCCATGATGTAAGCAAGCAGTTGTATGTGTACACCTTGGAGGAGTGATATGCTGATGACATATAATACTGAAGCAGAAGTAGATAGGAACTTCTGAAGTTGGTAGTGCCAGCTGTGTATCTATCACCTAATGCCCAGGCCTTTAAGCAGAGTGTCACTTCCTTTTGTGAAGCAATGTAGGCCTGGTCTGGAGAAGGTGAATGTGTCATGTCTGGTCATAACAGCAGTGCACATGAGCTGGAGAGGGAGTGCAGTCTTGTCCCATGGATGTATCTGGCTGGCTTGAGTAAGAGCAGTTGACACAGCTTCACAGTACAATGTTTAGATACTTGCCAAAGATAAACAAAAATACTTTGCCATCCACATGAAAGCTAAAAGCTGGTCTCTTGGGTTTTCCATTTAGGAAAAGTACTTTCCATTTAGGAAAAGCATTTTGTTTCCCAAGCTGAGGCTGACTTTCCTGGAAGAAAAAAATAGGCTGTACAACTTGAGCTAGGCAGAACTTGAGGATTTCCTGTGTTAATGGACAGCTGGAAGTTGCAGCTTTACCTGAGCATTCAGGCATAATAGACTCGATCAGAAGCTTCAGGTACTGCTATAGCATACACACAGCCAAGGACATCCTAAATACTAGCTTCACAGCACAATGCAGGCATTTGGAGAAATTCTGGAAAGTGAATGGCATTGCTAAGACTCAGCTAGTACTGTGTTGTAGCAGGTTCCCCAGTACTGGGGTTCTGGTGAAAAGGAAGCTCAGCTGGTTGAATGCAGTGAATTGTAAGCTCCTTTGGGAAGTAAGTTATAAGCTGATTGCAAACTGCTGTTGGGTTGCAGTTTTTTTCAACACTACCTTCTGGATGATATTCCTGCAACTGAGCACATCTAAAAGATGTCTGCTTCAACTTCTTTCCAAGCTCCACACCACAGTTAATATAGGCAAAATGTTAAACTGGCAATCAGTATGTAAATAGCTGTAGACAAAGATTGCAGTGGAGTAGTTTTTCAGGCTCTCACACCTCACTCTTTTATGCTAACATCTGATGTGCAGTGTTGAGGAACATGGAACTAAAGGATTTGTCGTAAGCATCATGCTCTGTCTGCTCTGCAGCTCTTAAGCTTTTTTTCTTTCCTTCCTTAGGAGGCAAACTATCTGGAAGAAAGAAAATCATGTTAAATATGGATTTCACTTAGTTTCCTTAATGCACTTGTTCTTATTGAGACTGCACAGATCAAAGCGCTTTAGCTGCTGGGGTTCAGAGCTAGTTTTACTGAGACTTGATTTTTCCCTCATGTTAATGGGATTGATTACCCCACCAGGTGGAGCCAGCACAGTGATGGGGAGCTGAGCTCCAGCACAGTAGCTTCATCTTTTAGACTGCTGGCAGTGATGGTAAAGCCTTGTGACTCAAGGGAAGCAATCTGATCTTGATTTAGACTCCCCTAACTTCTCTGCAACCTACACAAAGTGAATAAGATAGTCCTAGGGTAAACAGACTGAGCTTAGGCAGTCTCAGCAACGGAAAGTGACAGTAGACTGTCATCCTGACATATCAACAGTGAAATAATTCTTGCAGTGTCATATGTAGAATATATTCAGAACTATATGTGATTAAATCCCAATCCCATGTAGAAGTAATTTGTCTGCATCTGGCATGTTATAAATTTGGGTGGTGAGTTACTCTTTAAGTTCTTACCAGCTGTTCTTCCAGGCTTGATGTCTTCTATCAGTGATGCTAATGCATCTTTCTTCCCCTCCAGGTGATTGACATCTCAATGATCCTTGCGGAGGCCATCAGGAGGACTCATAATGGGGAATCTGTCTCCTACCTATTCAGCCATGTCCCTTTATAACAACAGATGCCAGCTGCTGCTTGTATGGCTTTTTTTTAAAACCAAAAGTTGTTCAGCTTGTTGTAAAGTTCAGTAGAAGACTCTGCTTGTTCCAGTGCAGTTCTCCACAGCTCCTCCTGTTTAAGTCAGGCTTACTGGATTTGATCCCAACGCTGGGAGGCTGGGGGGGGAAGCTTATCTCTGTAACACTCCAACTCCACCAGCAACCCTTGGCATTGGGGCTCATCAGTAGTATTGACTCAATTCTGCAGATCTGTGGAGAGCAGGACTGACACATGACTAATTGCCACAATTATTTCAAGGGGGGGTTGGGGAGAGGGTTTGTGGGCAGGGTTAGATAACATGGCATGCACACCCTAAATTGTTTGGGAAGTAGAGCTCCCTAGGACATGTTGATCTGGATCTACAGCAAGAGACTGCTGGCTGTCTTACCACTCTATACCTGACAGAAGCCCTTTTGAAGAGCAATGCAGAAGGCTTGTATCTTGGCCAAGCTTGACTCTAGGTGAAGCCCTGGGGGACACCTGGGAGGTGGTTCTGCTATAGCTTCCTCCCATGAAAGGAGATCAGTGTAGCTTGCAAACTTGAATTCATCTTAATTATTGATGAAATTAAATGCCCTTTAGCATGCTATACAGCAAAGTGAAGGTGAGAGCATAGTCTGTGCAGTACTGCCTTGCTGTGTTAACTTAGTGGTGAAGGTGCATCCTGGACAAGCATTCTACTCCCTTGTACATAGAGCACTTATGGTGGTTGTGTGCTCTAGTTTCTAGTGTAGGCTAAAACCAGTTCCTCAATTTCACAGCTTACTGTTAGCCTTGCTAGCAGTTAGAGGACTGCTGTCATGTACTGTAGCTGCACCTTGACTTGCTGTGCAAATCCTTGATCCTTTTCTTTTTTTACCAGTACACTAGTAAACCAAGCCTCTTTATCCCATGGTAGCTTGGTTGTTGCATCTAGCAAGTGCCTGCTCAGATGCTGGGGTAACCTAATACACAGCTTTGTGTCCAGCTGTCTTAGCCTCTCATTGCCTGCAATCCTGTTGTCCTGTAAGTTACTGACACATTCTGGTTGCTTGTCCTGGTCACTGTCTGCCTTGCCTTGAAAGTGTTGCTCCTTGCAAAAGATCTTAAACCAAGGAGCATAGGAGGTTGCAGGACTACAAAACCTGAAGAAGCCCTTGGAGTGGGTCTGCTGCTAATGAGTGCTTACAGCAATGGGTTGAAGAGGCTGGTGATACATAGTACTGGGAAAACTGTAGATCTAATACTAACCTGACAGGCAGTAAAGTGCCTGAAAGGAAAATACCAAAACTAGAGCTGGCCGAGGCTCCCAGATATAATAAGTATCATCTGAAACTTGAATACTTAGTAACTGTATCAGACAATCGTAAGGTAAACTGTTAAGTCTCTCCTGGACTCTTAGGGGGTTATAGACCAAGCTGTTTTATGCTTTGGTTTTATGCTTTGGTTTTTATAAGCACTCCTCTTTTATTTGTTTTTCACCTGGAGGAAGGGAAAAAGGGAAAAGAAGGAACTTGAAATTACTTGCTAGAGTAACCAACATGGCTTTCAGAGGCTAGGGGCTGTGGGGTATAAGTGGAACTAACTGAAAGATTTGGTTAAGATCTAGGGAAGTACTTCTTTAGTTGTGCCTTTTACTGAAGACTTCTCTCCCTTCCTAGAACTCCTGTCCTGTGGCAATGTTAACACTTCTATTACAATGTAGGGTTTTTCTTTTTGTATAAGAATTGGTGTTTGTCTGGAAAGTGTGTGTCTCATGCTTCTTTGCTTTGCATCCTGCACTGAGCTCTACCAAGAGTCTGATTCCTGCCTCCTGTATTGGAGCCCCTGCTGCTGCACTGCCAATGCCCTGACAGCCAAGAGCCAGGACACTGGAGCAGTGGTGTGAGGATTTTCAGCAGCATTTGTCTTTAAACTTAAGACCTGATGAAGGAATTAAACTTTTATTTAAAAACTATGGCCTCTGCCTATAAATGCGTCTAAAAACCTTACAAAGGTGATGTGCATCTCCTAAGTTGGGTCATTTGCAAGGTAGATTGTAGAGTAATATTATTTGGAAGGGACCTGGGAAGGTCAGCTGGTTTAACTCTCTTGCAGCAGTGCTGACTGTGAGGTTCAGCCTGGCTGTGCTCATCTTGCATAGAAGAAGAGCTTGGGACCAAGCCACTTCTCTTAGTGGGTAGTGGCTTTTGTCTGTATCTGATTTCCTAGACTTAATTGTTAGAGGTCGTAGTGCAGTTTCTCTTGTACTGTTCAATTCCATATCTGAGCAGGTCTGTTCACATAATGTTCAGGTAGGGGAAAACAGGAATAGTTTAGCAAGTACAAATGAAGAATTGCTAAGTATCTTGCACAAAGCTAATGATCAGAGGCAGCACGATTATGTTGTGAGAAGCACTTGTTCTAACTAAACCATGATCCTTTCTCATTGCATATTGTAAACTGGGAAAGTATAAATGAAGTCAGAAGGATGAGATGGCAGGTCTAGAGAAAGGTCTTTGGCCTTACAATAGACTTCCAGGCCTAGATTGAACATTGCTTCAGGGAACAGGATGATGGCCTCAGGTAGACTTTTGCTGAGGATCACTACTGTCATTCAACTGTTACAACCTATTTTGATACTGGTCAATGAATAAGTGAACTGTACTTTTTTTTTTTTCCCTCAAACAGGAGGGGGAGGTGATGTGGGTGCTGTCAGGGTGATGTAGCAGACTTTACCTTCCTTAGCGAAGAAACAGAACATGAGCTTTGTGGCCAAGAATTTGTACAAAGGTGACTTGCTGTTAGTGTTTATATACTGTTTTCTTGGTTACTCTAATAAAACCTGGGGGTTGGAGTGGGGGAGGGCACAGACTTAAAATGCTGTGTGACAGCGCTGTAACTTTTAAAAGGATGGGTGATACACAGAGCATGAGAACTGTCCCAAGGAGGAAGATGACTTCTGCTCTGGAAAACTCCTTCAGATCGGAAGGGCTGGACACTTGACCAAAGTTCCTTCCCTAAATTAAAAAAACTCCACTACTTTCTAATTATTAAACCTATTTGTAGGCAGGTTGTGACTGACTGACTAGAAGTGACCATTGTGCTATTAGAGCAAGTATGGCTGCCTTTTACACATGCATGCTAAAGCACTCTTCTCCCTGTCCAGGACAGTCATGGATGTAGTACCAGGCAGCCATGGGAAGGGTGTCCCTTCACTGCAGTGTGTGAATGGCAGAGAGCTAAGTTCCTCCAAGTCTGAGAGTGTTGCAGGGATGTTCATCCCTTAACCCAGGCAAGTTCAGCTCCAGCAGCATCAGCCATGCTTTGAAGTGCTTGTGCTATCTTGAGCTACCTGCTCTAGCAGAGGTGATTCTCCAGCCTGTCCTGGAGAGCTGCTGGAGGGAGTATGGAGCATGCAGGGTGCTCTGGAGGTGGATTGTGTGGTGTCTTCTCAGGCTTTCTTTACAGCTGCTGAAGAAATACTATAGAAAGTAAGTCATTGCTTCCCCAGGAGAAAATCCCAAGTGAGAAATTTGCTGTGCTTTTGTATTTGCAGAGCTGGAAGAGCAGAACAGAGCTACTGCAGCTCATTGTGCCACAGATGCAGCCAGAGTGTGGCTGCTGGTGTGCAGGTGCTGATATTGGTGCTGGTAGCTGTCTCATGTCTGTCTGTCTGCAGCCTGCTGTAAAAGCAGCAGCGGAAGGGAAACACATCAATCAAGCCCTGCATCTTAGCCCAGTTCACCTGCCTGGGTAGCTGAAGCTAATGTGCAGGGTGGGGATGCCTTAAGCCACTGTGAAAGCTGGGCTTATCATTTGTGCCTTGCAGGCAGCTGGACTTGTTTTCTGTTTGAAGCAAGATGAGACACGTCTTGGATTGCTCTCACCAGCAGCTCCCTCCTGCTGCTGCTCCTTCCTGCTGCTTTTCCCTGTGCCTTACTAGTTAGTATACAGCTGATTTCTCATCTCCTAGAGTCAGTGTTTCTGTGATCTAGAGAAAGCAGCAGCTTGCCTTACTGCTGTTGGGCAATGGGAAAGTAGTAAGGGTTAACAGAAAGCCCTTCTCTAAACTGCAAGGAGAAAAATCCATGGGAGGAATGAGCCCTGGTATAGACACAACAGCCCCAGTGTACTGGCTGCCTTCCTGGGGTGCTCTGCTCCTGCCTGGGTTGAAGGAAAGGGTCATGGCGGGAAGCTGGGGTTAAAAATGAGCAGAAAAAAGTAAACTGTGGCCCTGCAGAGTAGGGGGACTGATTCACAGCTGGGCAGCAGTGGCTAAAGGGGGCTCAGGTCCTGGCTGGCTGTGGTGGTGCCCGGCCTGTCCCTGCAGGCAGGAGGCTGAAAAAAAACTCTGATCAGAGAAAATCTCCTGCCTCCTTCCTGTAGAAGAGAATAAAGTGTTCCTGGAAATGGCCATCAGTGAGGCTGTGTCTGAGCCCTGACAGCCTTGTTCTGTGGGAGATTTAAAACTCCTCTAAAATGGCTGGCAGTTGTTCCCTTCTCTTCTCTTTCTGGTCAGGGCTGTTTTCACTTTCCCTGTATCTGTTGATGTTGTGGTTCTTTTGTTACAAATTATTGAAAGCAGAAATACCAAAACACATGCAAAAGCAGCAGGTTGTGTGGTTACAGGAGGCTTTGCAAATTTGTCAGGGGGAAAAAGCTGTTGCTGGGATATAAGCTCCTTTCTTGTCCTTTGTACAAGATGGGTTTTAAAAGCTCCGCAACAGCAGCCCCACACCTTGCCTGCTGGAAATGCAGAGGGTTGGCTTTAAAGCTGCTCCAGCCATGGTTTGTAGGAGTGTGGCGGTGCCTGCGTGGCTGTGGCTGGCTCAGGGAAGGGGGAGCTCCCTTTCCCCTGCCTGCACGTCCACCGTGGCGGCTTTGTCGCCAGACAAAGACCCCGGGGTCTGCAAATCACTGCAGCAGTGAGGAGATGCAACACGATGCACAGGGGCTGTGCCTTGGCTGGGGTGGGTGCAGCTGATGCTGGCGAGGAGCTGTGCGCAGGGCGGATGAGGACGAGGTCCTTTTGCAGTCGCTGCCTGCCAGGGACAAAAGCTACAGCAGACTGTGCAGCATCTGCAAAGGAGAAGCATGTGGAGAACAGGCAGGGAAAAAGGGGTGATCTGATGGGAGGGTGGGCACAGCTGGAGAGCAAACACATGGTAGAATACTTGTCTGACTATTTGCATAAAAGCAAAAAGGATTTCCTGCTTTCATTTTGAAACTGGGTGGGTTTTTTGTTTCCTTTTGGCTGTGCAGGAAAAATAAACCCTTTCTCAGCTCGGGCTGG